ATGCTACAGAGGACACAGCAATGCGTCATTTTTAGGAAGAAACTTTGGGATCAGGTTGTGATCCGCCAGCCAGTCCACAGCACACATCCCACCTTATTACCATGAATTAGTGTGCAAATGGCCCGAGAAAAAAATCACATGTGGCAAACAGTGATAATCTAATTATTATTATCTCATCAAAAGATTAATTGATTAAGATCAGCCTCCTAATAGAAGAACTGGATCATATTCTCATCCACATGTTCTATTGGAGTGTTGATTAAATGTATTGAGTGTCTGTCTCAACTGATGTCATGTTAGTGGATCTAACAGCTTTTCAATCCAGTACAATACAAGTCCTGCAATAAATCCCACATTTATAAAGCTTAGAGCGTAAAGTATTTGTTAAGATCTCAGAGAGGAGTCAATACAAGTCTGTATTCATATTTAAGACATCAACAAGGCATTTTGTTATTCTATGTAAACCCTGGGGATGGTTGTGTGAAAATCCCAGCAGATCAGCAGTTTCTGAACCAACAACCATGCCAAGGTCAAAGTCACTTAAAGAGGTCATATTGTGCTTTTTGTTTTTTCCCCTCTCCTTTATTGAGTTATATACCTTTTTTGTGCATGTACTAGGTTTGCAAAGTGAAAAAGCCCAAAGTCCAGCCCAAAGGGAGTTCCGATCTCCCACAGAAAACTCTGCTGCTCTGAACCGCCTGAAAAAAGCTTGTTTGCAGTCCAGCCACTTCCCTTTCATCTCTGTGACAACCATAGACTGTATATAAAGAAGTGGACGTAGTCATTGTGACGTCACTCGTTTGTGGACTGCCGTTTTGAAGCCTCGAGTTTGGCCGATAGGGCGCCGCCATGTTGATTTTTTGCAACCAGCGGCACCGGACATGACCATATTTGGACGAGACGGCGGAGCTAATGGTCGTGTGCGGAGCAAGCTAGCTTGCTTAGCTAGGTGCATCTGTAATTCATGTTAACTGTTATTTTAACAGGGCTGATAACTTTGTCTAACAAACAACAGGCTTAAAACTAAATGTACTCACCAGAGAATGTGCCTAATAAGCTGTTCCAGCGGCGCTGGGTAAATTTACACAGTGCCATGGGTCACTCTAGCCTGACTGACAGGTCACCATGGTAACGACTTGTCAATCATAGATAGTCCCGCCTTGAAGCATACTCTGCTTTATGGTCTATTTTCCTCTAAATGGGACCATAATTTACTAAATGAACATCATGTTGTATTAAAGAAGACATGGAACTAGTGATTGAGACTATAAACACATTAGGAAACTGTTTACTGAGGTAATTATTCAGGTGAGAAGTAGGATCATTTAACTATTATTTCTAATGGAACCAGACTTCTCAACCAAAAGAGTCGCCCCCTGCTGGGCGTTCAATAGAATGCAGGTTTAAGGTACTTCCGCGTTGGATTCACGTCTCAGATCGGAAGCTTCCCGCTGGATGATGACACATGGATGAAAGCAAAATGTGCGTAATAACGCTCACCAAGCGGCTAGTCCGACACGCCCTCAAAAACACAGGTGGAAAAACACTGAGCTGCAGCACACAGCTCTCCTCCCCCTTCCAAACACTAGCTACCCTCCAGGCAGTCAGTGGACATAAAGTTGTTACTGTGATGTAGAGACAGAGCTCAGTTAAAACTTTATGGATGAAAGATACTTTTGTTACAGATTAATAACTCACTAATCTGAAACTCTTGCTCCAGTCCATGTTGCCAAGCTGGTCGGCAACATGTACAGCTGAAACAAAGCCGTGTTTACTGGTTTCTAGCTGATCCCCCTTATCTGCTTCAGACTGGCTAGTAGTCAGTCAGAAGCGATCATTGACAATGTTAGTACATCTTGGTAACTGGAGAGGCAAGATGTATCACTCAATAGGTAAAACGAAGCCTTCAACACAGGATGAAAAGAGGAGCTGCGGCATTGTACAGTATGAAATGAAACCATGTAAACCTGTTCTGGTACAACCCCTAAATAAGATTCTGAACCTGAAAATGAGCAGAATACCACCTCTTTAAATCCCCTTTCTTCCCCATTCTGATGCTCGGTTTGAAATTCAGCAGGTTGTCTTGACCACGTCTACATGCCTAAATGCATTGAGGTGCTACCATGTGATTGGCTGAATAGCTATTTGTGTTAACAAGCAATAGAACAGATGTACCTAATAAAGTGGCCGGTGAGTGTCTATATTTACGCAGGCAGTGTTTATTGTATGAATATCATATTGCATCACATTATACTGGGCAAGTATTGCTGTGTATTTGTTGTATTGTTCTCAATCCCTGTATTATTCTACAGTGTATAGAGTCTGATTGTATATCTAAGCCCTCCAGGGCATCAACATCTGGATCTGCTGCTGCCTCGCGCTGCACACACCTTTAAAAATCCATTTCATATGCATCAGCAACGGATCAAATAACTAATCTATCCCACATAAAGTGCAATGACCTGCTAAACTATTTCAACCAAACGTTTAAACAGTATTCCATGACGTTTTCAACAAAATAAATGTCCGTTATGCTTCACTAGTTCATATAACACACTATGTGATTCAATGTATAGCAAGTTCCTGAGTGCTTTTTCATTTGCTGTTGAAATGTAAAGTAACAGATGTGTTTCACTTCTCTACTTTCTTTGAAGTAAATAAAAAAAACTTTATATTTGGCATAACTGAAAAGATGTTTTAAAAAGCGGCACCTATTGAAACACAAATTTCTTTCAACAGAAAATCCAAGAAGCAGACAACAGTACCGCTACACTGTTTGATGGAAACCGCAAACATACTAAGAAATACAATAAATAACAGTTTCTAAATCTTTCAAAAGAGGATTTTTAAATTGAAGACACACCTCTGAAATAAAAGTATCTGAAGGCAGAGAGAATCTATTACCAAATCCAGATTCTCAAGCTCCCATGTCTGTCTCCTGTGGGACAGCTGAGGCAATGTGCAGTAAAACAGTGGCGAGGCCTTGAGCGCTGGGTGAGGGATGGTGGTGACTGGTATGAGACTGCTGTGGGAGGATGTTCACGGCAGGAGAAGTTTTTGACTCCCCTGCTCTACACAGACCGTGGGCTCGCTTTTTATGTTGCTGTTCAGATCCCTGGGGGTTGGCGAGTGTCTCCACTTCTTCCATAAGCTCATGACATATGGCTTGGCTTGGTAGTTAGAATGGGACAGAGAAAGGGAGCTTTGTTCTGAGTGGACAATGTTGTATAGATCTACATTAGTAAGACAGAGTTTAAATACTTTATGTTGGATTCAAAATGTAAATATAGTGCTACAGCAGTACACACAAGTATGTGTCATTTTCAGAGATTTAAAAATGTCAAATCAAAACATTTAAAACGAGGACTACTGTCTAAAATCTTCTTGCACTAATAAATTGCTTTATAGGTCAAAACCCACTGTGCACTACATGACCACCAGCAAACAAAGACAACAGCACAAATCAATACAGTTATGTTAACAGTGGATCAGATGACTATGTATAGACAAGATTTGAGAGGGTGTCACTCATAGAGATATCCATGGAGACAACTCCTCAGCGATCCAGAACATTTTAGCATCTTCCTGCCCATTGTTTTGGTTTTATGACCAGCAACTTTACTGTTTTGGTTCATTCTCACTGCTCTCATTGAAATAGTATCCATCAGCAGCAGGTTGCTGTTTTTAGCCAAGAGGTTCAGATGAGCTGTTTGGACCAATTGCACAACAATTCTAAACTGGTTCTGTAAATTATCTCCAGCATAACTTTTCCCAGACAGTGTATTGCATTAAAGTGTAGCTAGCCAAGCAGTTTTTTCCCTGATGTTGGAACAATTTGTTTGCGTCAACCCAGCTGATGAAAATGCATCTACCGTAAAACTTCAATTAATAGCCGAGTCCCAAACAGCCGCCTGCCTCCTTTACTGGCCTGGTGTGGGGACACATTTTAACAAATAAACGCCTGCCTTAATTAAACGCCTGGTCTGGTTTTTATAGAAGTTCTTTGGATGTATAAAACCTCTTAAACCAGGCGGGGTCGCCGCTTTAGCTGCTTAGATCTTTAATACACATAGGCTATTAATGTTTAAAAGACATGCTGAACATCGTTAGATCGGTTGGATCCTCCACAATACCACTGTTAAGTTCATTTACTGGAAACACCAAGACCCAAAGTCTAATTCTTCTAGATTTACCGGTGTAACCTGCATCGATACAAGAGAGGAAAAGGGGGGGGGGGCTGACTCACGTTAACTTGGAAGCGCTCGTTAAATACGCTCGTTATGTCCGAATGTGTCCGTCGCTCTCTGTCAGCTATCTTCTCTCATCCTGCACCGTGTTGTTGTTGTCTTGAGGTTGCGGCCTTCAAAATAGCAGCGCATAAACCGCCTGTCGGAGCTAGATTAAATGAATGACGTGTATTTGATATTATTTGGTAATTTTTACATAAGTATTATTCTGTTTGAAATAAATAAACTGTTTCATAGTAGTTTCAGTTTTGTGCAAAAATAATTGAAGGCCTGTCCCAAATAAAGGCAGGGTCAAGTTAGTGAAAAGATTAAGCCCGGGCTATTATTCAAAGTTCTACGGTAATTCACATTCTGTTTGTTGGAACAGTTCTAACATGGGCTTAGAATGTCCTTGATTATGGAATCGAACAACTGTGCAAAATGATTTCGTCCAGAATATTTTATATTTTATATATGTATATATGGGAGTTTAGGAAATCTATATATTGGCTTATAGTATTTTTTAACCATCTTGATATGTATCTCTTAGATTTTTTTTTATTGTGACAAAGATCCTGAGCATAACATATTACTGTGTAAATATTGTGTGTGGTGTCTGGTGGACAAACTATGTAACGGTGACACTGTCTCTGCAATAAAAAGTCTCAAACACTTGGTATTCAAATCCCGCTCATTGACAATGTTAGTACATCTTGGTAACTGGATTACATTCTGAGCATGTTGGTCTGTGCTGTTGAAGCATCGTTGACTTACCTCCATCAGGTTTGATGACTGGAACAGGGCGATCTTTCCTCTCCTTCTCTTTCTCCATCACCTCTTCCTGGTCTTCACTGTGAAGGTTAAACAGCCTCTGACTTGGCTTTCTGCTCGGCTCACTCTCAACCAGCTTAAACCTTACTGGCGGCTGGGTGGTGGTAGTAATAAAATGGACCAAAGGGGTTGTCAGGTACTCAGGCCTCCTGGGGGAACTGGTGCTGAGCTCAGGTGTGGTCTTTTCATAGCTGCTTGTTGGATCATTGCTCTCTGACTCCTCACTCCTCTCCTGTTGTGATGGTTTTATCTTGTAGGGCATATCCTTTCCTTCAGGCCCAGTGACACTGCGAAAGCCTACCATTTCTTCCTCCTCCTCCTTCTCCTCTATCTCTTCCTCAACCACCTCACTGTCTGGTGCAACTGTCCCCTGTAATTCTTTTTGATCATTTGAACTTGCCTGGGAATGAATTGGGCTCTCTGGGCTTCTCAGCATGTACAGCGGAAGAGTCACTCTATCTGATCGCCTCAGCTGATTGGTTTGACTAACATTGATCTGACTCTTTGAACCTCTGGGTGTCACACTATCTGATGCATTTTGGTGTGTATGTGTCTTAGTCTCAGAGCTTCTCTGATGATGAATCGCACTCTCTAAACTCATGTGTTTCTCACTTCCTGATCCTCGGTTTAGTGGAAACATGACACTATCCAAACTTTTGAGTGCATGCAATTGATTCTCTAAATCTGTCTGTGTAGTCAGATCACTGAATGTGACACTCTGCATACTTGTTACACCCTGTGAAGGCTGCCAGGAAGCAGTGGCGTCCTTGTGCCTATGTGGCCTGATAGTACTCAGCCCTACTCTCAGGGGACTTTCTGTCACTTCCTCTCTATCTGCAGGATGTTCATGGACTCCGTATCGCTCTCTCAGCTCCAGCTTGCTTTGTCTGTCAAAGCTCTGAAGGGTAGAGCTTCTGTCAAGTCTGTCAGAGCCTTGGGACACAGAGATGACCTTGTTGGAGGAGGAAGACTGAGTAGGGAAGACCAGAGATTGAGGGTAGGTCTCTGGCAAATCTGTAGGGCCGTAATCATAATCTTCTGGCTCCTCCTTATCCAAAGGAGACGGTTTGAAGAGTGGAAGATTCCTATTAGGAGGAAGGCGATACGGCGTTCGAGACTGATCCATGCGCCCTTGTTGGTCAAACCTGTAGGGGTAACGGTTGCGCCTGCCGGCTGTGTCCTCCTCTGTTGGTGCAGCTAACATAGGTTTATGGTCCTTGTGCGGGTCACAGTCTGGCACAGGATAGCACATTAGCTTCCCCCCTTCGTTGGGACAGTGGCAGACCCGGCAGGTGTCAAAGTGGAAGGAGTGTCCAGCTTCGTACTTTTGTTCATCATGGACGCATCCGATACGTTCACACTGCATGCAACCGTCTGCAGGCTCTGAAACCTCGATGCAGTTTGGCGGCATATCAGGACAGCTGATGAAGTGGCAGCTGATCCGGCCCCCTCCCGCCGGGCAGGAGCACTCCGTGCTGCCATAGTCAACAAAGTAAGAGTCTCCCTCAGGCACTTTGCCATTCTTGAATCCAGCATTGATGCAATCGTAGTATTGGTAACCCTCGCATGTACATCCTTTTTGCAGGCATGAAGTGCAACAGGTGCCACTCTCCAGCACTTCTTCAATACAGTTGTCCAGCTGGGGACAGTCCACACCGGTGCAGTCACGCTGGCACAAGCAGACACTCAAGTAGAGGAAGAGAAATGTGCACCTCAGCAATGTTACTTCAGATATTACAAGACCAGCCATGGCAACAGGTGTGTGTACAACAAAGGACATCAGGTACTGGCCAAGGGCTTTAGATTGCCTTCAAGGATTCTGGCACATTCTGACCATTTGAACCCCCTCTACTCTGCAAGAAAGAAGAGAAAGAGAGCCAGACAAGCAGACAGGGGTTTAGTTCTCAAAATGAAAGCAGACCAGCATTTGGCTTCATAGCTGAGCTCACAAGAGTCCAATTTTTACTCCTCATAGTTGTCCTATGTACAGTAACTGACTACGTGCTCCCCATTAGCATCAGCTGCAGTGCAGTATTTTGAATCATTATGCAGGCTGTCATTAGGATGAAACTTGGAACTTGCCCAAGTCTTACATTTCTACCACGTCGTTGATTATCTCCATAAGAAAAATTGCCATTGGGTTGCAATCAACTTTAGAGTCTGCTGAGCACCGAGACTTCATCATGCTTTAGCAGTTGATTTTGTTGGAAATTGGTTAGACTTTATGGAAAGTACATTGTCTGAGTAGAGAAATAAATTGTCTAAATTGTTTAATAAGAGTTGCAATTTCAGACTCACTCAGTTCATTGGTTAATTAAATTCAGCAGTGAAACACAGGAATCAAAGACTTGTAATAACTTCTCTCATCAGCAAAAAAAATCAAAGCCCCAAATTTGACACAAATCCCTTCTGTTCTGTTCTGAACTACATGTTCTCTTCAAAGTGTTTTTGGACAGATCTAATATATCATCAAAGACACTAAGCAAATTTCCCATGGCAGTGGATGCTGGATAGCCAGTAGGTTATATCTACAAGTAAACAACCCCCCCACCCCCCCACCCAACTCACACTTCTCGATTCCTGGGCTGATATTCATGAAGTATCTATGAAGTGCTGAATTCAACACTGATTTGTCACAAATGGTGCTGTAGAAGTCAGTAAATCTGCTCTAAATAAGGGCTGTTATCACATCGTCATCTGTGATCTGAGCCATGAGCTACACATTTAAAGAGGGAACCAGAGACTGACCATAACAGTTCACACATTTCGCTCCACACAGTGGAGAGAGTGTGTAGCTGAATTGTTCTATTTATGAAGTAATAATTATTATTTCAAAGCATTTTATTAGGAAAAATAAGCCACTAATGACTTTGTTATCAGTCTTTTTGTGTTTCAGCTCTCAACATGAGTTCCTTGGCATGGCAAAAAGTAAATGTAAAACAATTCAAAGTTCAATCATGTGTGAAGCAGAGAAGGAGTTGAAAAATTGGCATTTCTAGCTCTAAACTTAAAGAGTTGGAGCTCCTGCAACAGACTCCCTAGGGGGATAAGCCTAAGCCCAGCCCGCAGCCCTTTTGTCACTGATCTGAGCTGTTTTCTAGCCTGAGAAGTTTGGATCACAGCAGTTCTGTCAGTGAAAGTGATATGCGCTGTTACTGTAGTAGACATATTAAAGTTGGCAATGCAAGGCAGCAAAAGAATGCAAACTGAGTAATCTATGCAGCTTGGTGTTTCCCAGAGTAGTGAGGGATGGGGGGATTCCCCTGTTTTCTCTCCTCCTTCCCACACACTCTGATGAGCTCCAAACCCCTGATGCCATGCAGCTCTGCTCACATGGACATAATCTGACGATTATTTTCAAACTTCACTTATGAAAAAGAGTGCAACAGGACACCTCCTCAGAAAGATGTTATGCACCTTTGCTATTTAGAAAATGCCATACATATTCTGGAATACAAACAGGGAGATTAATACACAATGAACTAAGTTAAAGTCATGATCATGCCACCGATAATACACAAAAATCTATTGAAGTTTTCTTCTCCTGCATTTGTTACAACTGTATGCAGATGGCATCTTAACAAATATTTAGTCTTTAAATAATGAATTGCAGCAATTTAAAATAGATCAGACAAAATAAACAGAGTAGCTCAGTCTCCTGCTCAAACTGCATCGCAACCTGTCTGCTCTTTCCACCTGATAGCTGGAGAAAGTCGCCCGATTTAACCACTGATTGCAAAATTGCAGTCTAAAGTACGTCCAAGGTGAATTCCCCAAATTGAACTAGCGTTTAGACTCAGAGCTCTTACCACAACACCGATGGATTCAACTGTGTGTTTTCAGCGGGCGAACCCGGTCTCAGTGAGCTGCGGACTGTTGACGGTGTAACGAGTGAAGTAGTTTGTAGACACCGGTTTGATGATGGGCTGGAGAGCCGCCGGCTGCAGATCCGCTGAGCGCCGCAAGTGTGAACCTTTTGACCATCGCAGCACTGCAGGGGTAAGGCAGGGACCAGGCAGGGACCAGGAGGGCCGGCGGAGGGGGAGGTACGAAAAGTTTCCCCTGCTGGAGACTCATAAGGAGCTGTAGGACCGGCCCACACAATGCAGGTAAAGATGGGGAGATTTATTTTAGGCTGCTTGTTGAGCTTTGGGCATAAATTATGAGACAGATAAAACTTTCTCAGTGCCATTCAACAATTGTTACTCGCTTGATTGTAGATACATGCTACAGATCAACATTTTGCTAGATATGCCTTGTCACTTTCTACAAAAAGCGATTGATATCACTCTAATATATGTCCATAAAGTATGGAACTTTTTTTAATTTATATATTTATTGTACTAATTTTCAAATTACTATTATTTTGATTGTTTGATTTTTAGGAATTGTTGTGTTTTTAAATCTCACGTTTGATACAGTTTTTTAATTAACTAATTAATAATCTTTTTATTATTATTTTTGTTTTTAATATACATACACACGTTTATGGTTTTATCTATTTATTTTATTTAATTTTTTAATATATTATTATAAAAACACACATGTTACTGTGTCATTTACTTATTATAATTATAATTATTTTAAATTTTTAATATATTTTTATTTATTTTTTAACACACACACAAACTTGCTTATTGTTTTTTTTATTTACTTTTATTTTTAATATTTATTTTCACGGAAATCTTATATTTAATAGTTTTTTATTATTATTTTATTTTTTATTATCACACACAAACACAAATTTTACTGTTTTATTTCTTTAATATTTAATGCAATGTATGAAATTTATTGTACTTATGTAATTTATGTGTAGCTTTGGCAATATTGTTGCTATACATTCATGCCAATAAAGCTCATTTGAATTTGTATGGAACTAGGTGAGCATAAAGGATGACGTTTGTGTGTAAACATATTATAAAATAACACATACACCACTGTGGTCATTTTGAACTCAACTAAGGTTTGGGCTAAATCTGACCAAAAAGGAAGATAAGCTGGGTTTAGGTTCCACTGTTTGTCCTCTGGTATTTAGCTTATCGTAGTATAAAGTCAGACTGTATACCAGAGTCCATGTGCTGTTGTACTCTCCTACAGGTTGAGCCATGTTGTTGGCCCCCAGAGTAAACTTCAGCTGCTGTCCACTGCTGTCTTTTTAAGGATCTTGCATGTACCTCTTAAATGAATGTCAGTAACCAAACAAGAGCTTTGCGCTCTCATCATTACTCATGCTGTCTTTCTCCTGCCAGTTACAGCCCATGCATGACACAAGGCTGTAAGCCATCTCAACTACTCAGAGAAGAACGCATCTCCCTCAAATTCAGGCCTGTTTTTAATACCCTGCGTGATTCGACACGAAGCCCAACTCCATGGATCGAGAAAGGTGCATGTTGTTCAAGTGAGTATGTCTTTGAATTCACATGTGCTAGACATATTTCATCCTCAGTCATTTTAATATATTTCGCCTTTTGTAGGGAGCATGAGCCTGCAACAGCAAATTGCAGAAGACTTTACGACTTGAGACCAATCTAGTGTCTCACATTCACATCAGCAATTCCTTTATTTGAAGCAGCACCTCTGGAGGGCATTGTAAATTTTCCCCAACATGGCACCTCCAGAGGACGTCTGAGTTCAAAGAGTGTAGGGAGTGAATTGTTTGAAATAAAGTGTGGCATGCTAGATGTTTGAATGGACTCACTCATCATGTTGGAGCGCAGTGTGACCTGATCAGCAGTCTGGACCCCTCCCAGCAGCCCATATAAAAGTCCTAATGAGGAGCTGTCAGGGCCCGGGGTGAAGTGGTGGTCGGTGCTGTGATAAACAGATTGGCCCTGATCACAGATAAGACTATTGCCAGGGGAGTGGGCTTTCAACTAGAGATGAGAGATGAGGTAGAACAATAGAAAGGGCTCACATTCAGAGTGTTCAGGACTGGGTCAGTGGAAGAACATGTCAAAACTTGCTTGTAGTCCTACATTTTTTATTTAATGTACTGTACTGTGGGCCAGCTGCTTTACTTTTCACATGTAAAAGTAGACTTGGCTGTAACAGCACAGATCCCTGGAGTTACGTGCAGTTTTGTCTGAAGTTGCACAGATGAATAGTGTAGGATTACAAGATCAGAGAGGGGTTGCCACAGTGTAGTGAACAAACTTGGATTTTGCGTGCGCATAACAGGATGAAGCTCAGCCCTGCTATTAAACAGTAAGTGGGACTCAACAACGCATGGGTGAGATTTGTGGAATCCCAGTGTGATCTCCAGGGAAAGCTGTCAGACGCAGACAAGTCTTTGAAATATCTGGGGAGGCCTCAGGGAATCAGGCTTCATGAATGGGGTCACCGTGGAGCATCTGGCTCAAGACTCACTGGTGTCCCTCTTGTGTGGTTTATTGAAGAGAAGCTTGGCAGGGGCCTGTGAGCGACACATCTTGTACCTATATAAAGATTGGTCTGGATGGGTATCAGTTTGGGGCATTTATAGGAAAATAGAAGAATCTTAACATAACTTGTTTCCAGTTTTGGCTGGAAATTGTGATCACTATCACTGTCTTCTCCAGCTGCAGCTTGAGCAAAGTGAGACCATGCTATGTATGCGCAATATGTGAAGATAATCACCTAATATTATTTGAGCAGCTGGAATGACTGTTATCTCCCAAATAAAGAGTTTGGCAAGTTCACAAGCTGTATTACACATTTAGTGAACAGAAAGATTGACCAGATGGGAGCTCAAAAAATCAGTTTTATTGTCTTATTAGACTGTCATCTATGTCAGTGTCATCTGAGGAACTTTTTGGAAGGTTATTGCTCCATGCTCCAACGTCTCAAGAGAGATGCAAACATGCCTTTTTAATTAAAATATCTATTGATCAACTTTCAAAATGGCCACATTATAGATTAGGTCCTCAGAGCTATGATGGAGATACATCATAGGCATTAAGATACAAAATTTCTGGTCAGACATTACTGCATTACTCTTTCTTCATTAAGGCATGGCCCTGTACTTTGTGCGTTGCAGTGAACTAGTTTTATGGTGTAAAGCTGCTCTTGTCTCTGCTCTTTCCGCTAAAAAGCCTGCCATCATAGACCCCATTTACCCTTGTCCTTTCAAGTGTCTCATATCTGTACACACTAACAGCTCCTACTAGCATCTATTGTCACTTGTAGATCTCTTACTTTATTGATGCTTGTCTGTTGTTCCTCAAATGTAAGTAGCTTTGGATAAAAGCATTAGCCAAATGAGTAAATGTAACTATCCAGATAAAATCTAGAGTGTTTTTCCAAACACTGAGGGTTCATTTAAAAGTAATTTTACGTCACAAGGTTATATATTGAAATTTATGTTTGTTGTCAATTTATGCTACACACACAAAACTATTATGATGCTGTGTGGGGGATGAATTTCAAAGCCTGAAGGAAGAAGATGCTCTGCAGGTGATATGACAGCAGAAACTTCTATATCTCTTCCCAGAAGGCAGCAGGGTGAACAGGCTGTGGCTGGGTGGGTACTGTCCTTTAGGATCCTTTGGGCTCTGCAGGCACCTCACCTCACCGATATCACTGATGCTCGGGAGATGGTACCAATGATCTTCTGAGCAGTTTGAATCCCCCGCTGCAGAGCCCTCTGGTCCTGGGCCCTGCACATCCCATGTTAGTGATGTTTCCAGTCAGGATGTTTTCTATTGCTCCTCTGTAAAAGTTGACAAGAACTTGGTGTGGGAATTTGGCCTTCTTAAGTTTCCTCAAGAAATCCAGTCGTTTCTGAGCTTTCTTCACCAGCGTGGAGATGTGAGACGACCATGTCAGCTTCTCTGTGCTGAAACTGTTCACCTGCTCCACCTCAGCTCCACTGATGTAGACAGGAGTGTGTGTCTTTATCTCCGTCTTCCTGAAATCAGCGATCAGCTCCTTAGTTTTGCTGATATTGAGCAGTAGGTTGTTCGCTGTACACCACTCTACAACATTAACAATTTTCCTCCCGATATGAAGTCTCATCGTTGTTTGAAATCCGGCCGATGATGGTGGTGTCATCCATAAACTTCACAACAGAGTTCTCTCCATGTTGGGGGATGTAGTCGTGGGTGTGCAGCGTGAACAGGAGGGGGCTGAGCACACAGTCCTGGGGCTCTGGTGTTCAGCACTAGAGTGGAGGAGGTGAGTGGAGAAGCCTGCTGTTACAGACATGTCTGAGCAAACCGCAACCCCTCTTCTCAACCTTGGACTCGTCTTTGTCGAGCCATGACGTCTAGTCCACAAATGTCTAGGGCTAATTGGAAACGGTGTTTGTTAAGTCACAAATATTGAATAAACAACAATAATAGATTGTTTTTTTAAACTACCGTCCTTATCTGAACATATTAAGGAGCCACACAACATACTGTTGAGAAAGGTTCTGTTTCAAGGCTGGATTTGAAATAGGATTTCTTGCTTCTTGAACAACACAAAAAAATGTGCTGTTCATGTTGACTTCAGCATCCTGGGTAATCTATTCACAAGTGGACAGCCTTTCACATCAGATAGCAATTCGGTCCATCCATGATGCATGAACTAATCTAAATAGAGAAGGGTGAGATGTGATAATCATTTAAATGGGGATAGCAGTGAACCCTTTCAGACAGTCTCTCATTAAAAGTATTGTATGCAAGTGACAAAAGTTTTTTTTTAAGAAAGAAAAAGAGAACTTTCTCTCCTCTGTACACCACTCCATTGGCCGTGTGTAGTGGCCATGATTGTCTAATTGTCTGTTTTAGGTGAAAAGTTATCAAAATGACAGACAGTTCCCCCAATGCTGACTGAGGAAAGGGGGACGATCCAACAAAGCACTTAGTTTGAGTCATACGGAGGCCTTTATTCCAATACACATAACATCACTTTGGCCTGTCACCTATGATTAGGGAATGGCTATTTGTTAGGTGTGGCTGAAAAGGATTCAGGAGCGGACACAAGGTAGAGGCACTTAACTCAGGCAGATTTATTTCAGAGTAGCAAGAAGTGGCCTGGGGTGTGGGACAGGTGAGAGGGTTCCGAGGCAAGTTCCGGCTTGATGGGCTGCGTCCTCCAGCAAACAATTTAAGGCAGGCAGGCAGCGTCCTCAAACAGGCAGGGATTCTGGCAGGCAGAGACAACAGTTAAAGCCAGGCAAACAGGGTTTCCAATGACGAAGTTCTGTTCACAAGATTCTCAAATCGGCCACAGCGTAGTTACCACTGAAGGTTTACTGATGAACTGGTGAGGAGAGGGTGAAGAGCTGGAGTATTTCACTGAGGAGGTTGATTGCAGGATGAGACACAGGCAAGAGCTGCTGCCGGAAGAACAGCCAGGAGAGAGGGAGCCACAGCGACACGTCCACAACCATACACAGGACATAACAGACAAAAAAAACAAAAAAAACACAGACAGCAGGGATGGTAAACAGTGGAAACAAGGAGACAGAGGTGGTGGCAAGGCCCAATCATGACACTATTGTCTACAACAATATCTTCTTGTTTTGCTTGTTTTTGACTGTAAATGCAGACCTTTTGCCAGAACACACAAAGACAGGATGGGGCACATTAGACCCTTAATGATGCAGGCCTCTGATTACATAGGGCACGTCACATACAACTTACCACCATCTGCTGAGCAGTTCACACACAGGTCACCAGTATCCTGTTTGGCTGCAACTGAAATTATTATCATGCAAATGATCTGCACAACCTGTCTTTTACATATGTATCGCAACTGTGCTTTTTAAAAAAGACACTGTTTATAATTCACTGTGTTAGGTATATAAAAATGCAATGCAGAACTCTGCTGATGTCTCAACGTATGAATTTTGGTTATGACCTTGAATGGCACTAGTGTGTGTGTGTGTGTGTGTGTATGTGTGCGCGCGCACTAAGCTACAGTGAAACACAATGGAGATATTTTATTTCTGGAATATTCTTGATTCAGTCACTGTGTTGTTGGCTAAATGTTTTGGTGAATAAATGCATGGAATTAGCTCCAGATTAACTATATTCAGATGGTAATGAGTATTTAAAGTATAAATGGAATATTCTGGGAACATTTTTCCCCCCATCACTGACTGGGAGACTAAATGTTTGGAAATATCTGCCTCTCTGTGAACGACTGATATGTGCAGCATGTTGCAATTAACTCCTGGCCCCAGCTCAACTGCAATTTCTTATTTCCTGCAGAACATGTACAGTATATCCTCTGTCATCAATGCAGCATTACTGATTATTTCTGCCAACAGCACAGAAGCATAGCCTACCTTCTGCAAAAATAGACAATATTGTCTCTAGTGCCCTGCTTCATAGGCTTGAAGAGGAGTGACCTTCACATGGGCCTCAGTCTGCAGGATTATCTGATACAAAGCAGTGCAAGACAAAAGTGAAGAAATAGTAAGGAAGTGGGTGGTGTCATGCTCTGGAATCTTCATTAACCCGGCACTATAGGGGGCAGAGCCGCCTGCCCTGTCTTACTGATTCTCTTAACACTGGAGTGGGTCAGGTACCAAGGTCCCTCTTAAAAGCAAATGCAAAGCACACCGTCTGGAATAAAATGTGCTGAAATCAAGACTTTAACAGACTCCAGTGAACCCTATATAGACCTAACCCATGCTGCACTCCATCTTTATTTGCCTCTGCAGACATGAGAATGGGCTGCACATGAACCAGCATTGAGGCCCAAGTGAAATCAAAACAGTAGTGTGGGCAGATAAACAAATACATGCCTTGATCACCTCAGGCTGTTGTGTTGCACAAAATGGAATGGAAATGTTCAACTAGATTAATTAACTATTTAATAATTAACTAATATTTGACTGAAAATAAACTTTCAAAATTGAAAAAAAAGCAAACAAGGGTCATAAGTCCTCATCTGTATTTGTCAGTGTGTCAGCTTATCTTAGTTATTGGCTAACGTGTCTCGTTTGGCAGCACACTATGTTTGGATAGAGCAGAGTGAGCAAAGAGCAGGGCTTTGACACGCGTTGACTGCTGCCTGGGCCGACAGTCAACGGGATGCCAGACTTTTAGTCTCAATAATAATGAATGCACATTTCGAGATTTCTTTGTAAAGAGCTCTCCACAAGACCACTTATCAATCTATGTATATAAATGTAAAACAAGGCCACAAATTTAACACATAAGGTTCACAAATTAAATTCTGATTCACACATAAATAGTGAAATACATTTAATGTCCTGGAAAATCCACACATTTAAAAATGTTTGCATCAAGAACATCTTTGAATGTTACATTAAAAACCACTTGTCATGTGGTGTCATGCTTGTCTGTTGTTTGGCTTTTCTGTGTGGATCTTGCGTAGGCCTGCTTCTACCTGCTAAAAGGGAGTTTTTCCTTGCCACTGTCACCAAGCGCTTGCTCATGATGGGAATTGGGCCTTTGTTAATAACATTACAAAGAGTTCGGTCTAGAAAAGTGCAATGAGATAACTTCTGCTACGCTACCTTTTAAGGCCATTAAAGCAAAACAATAGCTCCATAATGGATTATCATCTGGGGTAAGCAGGTATTGGCCCAATGACCCACACCCTCAAGGGGCCCTGCACCATGTGGCCAGTTAGTATTTCTATTACTATGCAATTACTTTGTGGTAATTTTATTTGATTACTATTGTTTTTTTAAGAATAATAATTACTTGACTAATCTTGGACTCCTGTTTTGGCACTGTGTGAAAATGGAGTATAAAACCTGACTGTGAATCATTTTCTAAAGCAAGTTTAAGGAATTTCGTATGTCTGAAAAGCGTAGATGATGGAGTGTGTGGCCAGGTCTTCCAGTAGTCAACACGAAGCACGAGGGTTTTATTTCTTCAGCATATCATACCAACCTGTGAGAAATGGATGGAAAAAGAGGAAAAATAACAAAGATACAATAAATAGGATGCACGTATATACGTCAGTTTGTGCCGCTAGCTATAAACTAGTTAACACAAGCGCGTTATGCTCTTGAAATATATATTGCAGAAAACTGCAATGAAACATACCTCGTAGGCTGCTTTGCTACATCTAGAATACTTTTTTCTTGGCTTCTTTCTTCTGGGGTAATCTATGTCCAGATATATTTATATATGCTTAATATTTACTTAGCTTTGAGAGCTCTTCTCACGCCATGGTTTTAGCACTTATGTTATTTTGTATTAACACATACAAACATGACTTTTGCTGTTTTATTTCCTTATCTAATGAAATGTATAAAATTAATTGTCCTTATGATATTTATATGTAGCTTTGGCAGTATTGTTTCTATACATTCATGCCAGTAAAGCTTATTTGAATTTGTATGTGCACTAGTTTGCCGGTAATTAGTTCAGCCTCTAGGATCTGCCATTATTACAGGTAGGAACCAAAAACGGAAAAGGTAATTTAAAAAAAACAACAAAAAAACTTAACTATGTATGTGGTGTCAGCTCAGCCACCTGGCTGAACGCCGGGAATAGAGGTTTGGACCCAAAATGCAGACACTGAGCAGGTACTGGTGAAAGAGTGAGGTTTATTGCAGCACATGGTGAAACTTACAGGTGGTAAGCAGTCCAAAACACAACCGGTGAGTAATTCAACTGAAAGTAAATCCAAAGTAATCCACAAAAAACACAGGAGGCACTGGAGAAACCTAGAAAGAACACTGGAGAACTCTGGCATGGAAATCACTAGACTAGAACCACATGAAAACAATGAACTGGCAAGGAGTGAAAGACAGACAATCACTATATACCCAGGTGAGGGAGAAACTAATTAGACACAGGTGAACCCACTTAAACAATCAGAGACAAGCACCGGAAGTAAAACATGACAACACACACTAGGAGCAGAAACTACAAACTAAAACAGGAAGTAAAGCATATGGGAACACACAAGGACAGAGTTACCAAAGTAAAACAGAAAAACAACTGCATGCCGAACAAAACCGGGGCAGGGAACTGGAAACAGGACAACACAAACATGGATACATGGAACTAAGGACTAAGACACAGACATAGACGAGGAGAGAACAGACAGGGCATACAAACAAATAGAAACTGGACACAAGAACCAACCACTCACAAAATATGGAACCAGATGACATGGACAAGACACACTGACAAGTGGACAAAAACCAGAACAAAATGACAAGGGACCAGGAAGAATAAAACAGAACTAAAATGCAGGACTAAAACTAAGATAAGGAACAAGACAGAAACTAAGTCAATAAAACATGCGAATGAACAAAAGAATAAACTAGACTACAAAACCCCACACATTAAAGACTAAACGCAAGAATCCAAAATCAGAACACAAGTGAAACCCAGAACTACATAAAACATAGGAAACAACTGAAAAACCACCCAACCAACCCAAACCCTCGACATGTGGGGCAGTTACAGCAGTTTAAGGCATTTTGTATGTCTGAAAAGCGTAGATCATGGAGTGTGTAGCCATGTCTTATGAACTTTATTCCACCTGGATTTTAACTAAAAAGGGATGTTTCTCTATATTAGAAATTGTTTTGTTGAATGCAACTATTCGCACCTATTCAGTTAATCAGCTTCTGATTTCATGAAATATGCATGGACTACCAGCAGGCACTCTGCAGGGAGCTTTGGTTTCCAGGGGATGTTGCTTGATACGGAGGAGGCATCCAAATTATGCGTTGCTCCAAATTGGCTCCCTGTGTCTTCAGCCTTCTACACTGCAGCAGAAACTCAGTCATGGCATTACAGCTCAAAAGTTTCAGACTGTAAACTCTGAAATCAAGAACTATACATTACTTCTACTGTTTCTTTACCATTTTTACCCTTGTGGTTCCGAAGGATGGCTGCAACAGCGCTGATTCAAACCTGTGTTAGCAGGAAGATACATTCCTGTCGTGAGCAGATGAACGGACCTTCAGAAAAGTGAACACCCGCAACTTCTGTTGTCATCTTCCCTTGTGGTGATGGAAGCCAACATTAAGCCAGTGGACAAAACCAGCCTTTAAACATGAAAACAACAACAACAACTGGAGAGTCAGATGTTCCCTCTCTCAGCGAGGTGTCTGGCTGAAGAAAAACAACATTACTGAAATGCGGAACAAGATCACAAAAGCGTTATTGCTGTTTGACAAGCTTTGGAAATATTTGGATATGAGCCTGCTTGCTTTGGAAAATTCCTTCCCACGGTTTCATCCAATTATTTATAATCTATTCTTTACAGATGATACATGTAACACACACTAGTAGTTCTGGGTAGTGATATTGATTTGCTAAAAGCTGTGAAAAGACCTCATATTATCTTGTACTGGAAAAAACATAAAGCTGTGCCATTTTGGCTTTTCCTTTTGCCTGGGTGTGTTTTTCTTCCATCATTTCATTATAACAACTATTCTAATGAGTAGCCCTTGAATTCTGCAAATGTCAACCCAATCAACAGTCACAGTGAATGTCAAGAGTGCACTATTGTTTTATGCAGCCCTCAGGCCTGTTTGAAAAAGCAGTGGATGTGTATAAAACAGGACAAAGGATTTCTTTCCATATGGACGGCAGATCCACGCTAGCTTCAAGCTCTACACCTCTGGCAGCCAGAGCAAATTCAGCAGGAACTATTTGGAGAAGCATTAACATTTCCTCTTAAAGCTGCTGTTGTTCACATCAAGAGTCACGTCACTACAGTAGTGTGTGATGATCACGTTGCATTTTTTTTTTCAGGCAGTACAACACAAGCCCCCATTTGAGAAAAGTTGAGTCTTTTCTCAAACTGTTTGGGAATGGACGGTGTAAAGTTTGATTCTTACAATGACACACAATGGGCCAGATCGTGTTCTGCCTTACCGCTCCCATAGGCCATCTTAGGTCTGTGTTCAGCTTAATGATGTGTGCAATTTACATAGATGCCTGCATCATCCCACATGAATAAATGCCTGCATAAAAACATCTGTGTGATTGTAGTAAAGTCCATTACATTGAAAGACTATTAGTGGTAAATGTTGACTCAAAACATGTTGATCAACGTCTCTGCTCCAGGACATTCAAACGTAATGGTAAAAACGTCTTTCAGATGACATAATGCACCCCCCAGGCAGTCATATTGGAGGTCCACAGCTCTGGGGCTCTACAACACAGAACATCTGCTTGTGTTTCTCAATAGACATCTTTGTTGTTTTGAGTTTTGAGTCTTTGAGTTTTGTTCTGGAAGCTCCTGATTGCTAATGATACACCAGACACTATAATGTATTATCTTGTCAGCTAACCACAGTTATGTTAGTTTACCAAAATAACACAAAAAATATTTCTACCTACTTCCAGCTATCTAGCCATGCAGATCATGGTTTCAATGACAATGTCAGGACTAAATATGCAACATTCAAGTTAAAGTTTGTAAAAAAAAACAAAAAAAAAACGAGTTGGCTATTATTTAGTAAGATGATAACAATGAAAAACTCAGTTAATCTTAGTGGTCAGGTAACCGTTATTAGCTAGAAGTTATCTGGCCTGTGTGGGTTGTTCAGATTTAATTACCGTGGCAACATGAGCAAATAATGTTAGGGGTCGCCGTTAAAATCGGATTTTGAATACACACACAGTTGAAACAACTGCACCCCCAACTCTTCATGTTTGTGATTTGTTAACATTTTGGCCATATTAGCTTTTAGCAGTTCCTGTGTGCACTGTACCCATTTCTGTACAGGCTATGATCACTTGATTACTTAAAAATGTGATGATTCTCAGGAAGATCTGGAGTGATAAGGAGCATTTTTCTGTGATTTCTAATCATATTAATGGACATTTATTCACAATGGCATCAGAGATAATGTAAGTCACACTGAATCTAAAATGTCTCTGTCTGTGTAACTGTGTGTTCAGATTTGACTGAGTTATGACTCAAAGAAGCATGATGCAAATTGCAGCAATTGTGTTAAAGTTACTTGTTTGTTCATATGTCTTACTGCACTGTAATTTTTACTGTCTTTTTTAATTTTATTTTGCCTTTTTTAAGCCTTTTTACATTGCCTTTTGTTTCTGTTATATCTTGTCTTCATGCCTTCATGTCTTATGTAAAGCACTTAGAGTTGCCTTGTTGTTGAAAGGTACTATATGTTAAGGCAGAAAATTGTTTCCTCTTATATTTAATCTTTTATGCATGTTCTTTTACTATTATTATTATTTCTTTTATTGTTACCATTATTATTACTATTATTGTATATATATATATATATATTTATTGATTCTATCCATAACCTTTCCTTCTTCTATACTCCTAATGTTAGTCTGTCAACATTTACAAGGATTAAGGTCAGAGCTGTGATATTGTTTTAGTGTTTTCTTGAATGTTCATTCAAGGCCAGGAGAGGATCTCTGTTCCCCAAAACATAGAAACCTAGACTGTATAAATGACTATGTATCCCTCTGCTCTGGACCAGATGCCCGAGGCTACCCTAGGCAGCAGGTCTCTGGACCAGCTGATTTTCTGTTGTAGTTCTCTGTCATTCTCAAGGTGTGGACTACGGGGGAGCTTAGCTCCCCTTAATAAGACATCAGCTCCCCTAAAAGCATGATTTGTGAAATTTTGGGAGTCTCTAAAATATTGACAGCATGCTTTATTGCTATTCATTTCTATATCTCTCAATCATCATGGATCCATGCGTAAAACCAGGAGCGTCAGACTTCATCCAGCCAGAGGGAACATTTACCGACCATGCAGGCCAGTCGCTCAATGATCTCCTGTCCCTGGTCTGCCGCACTGCCTCTCACGGGTTGTGTCGTTCCCTCTGGCTGGATGAATATTATGCATGATCCATGCACTACTGCAGCTGGGGGCTCTCCGCTGCACCACGCACTTTCTAAATTATTCCCTCTCACAAAGAAAAGAAAGGTCAGGTCGCAAACACAGCCGCAGCTGCTGTGTGAAGCCAAAATGGCTGCATATGATAATAATAATTATTATTATATATAAGACAAAAATGCGTTAAACTTTCACAGTCTGCCCCAGGCCTACATGCTTGCAGCTATTAATGATTCAGCAGCAAGAATCATATTCTGTGCAGACCAATTTTCTCTATAAAAGAAATTTTGGCAGTGGTGGTGGCCCGTAAATTACACTCTCATTTAATTGCTCTCATACAGGCATAAGACAGTAAGATGCTTCCGAACTGTTGCAGTCAACCTTTTTTAAATAAAAAAGCTGCATACTCACACATTTTACTTCACTTTTTTTTCTGTTCAGTCAAACAGTGACCTTCATCAAGACTAGTTAGCTCAAGTGCCAGTTGCTGGATGTCCCATATTCCATTTCAGCGATGTCCAACTTATTCTGGATAATCAACAGACCTCACTGTGAACAGATTAGATTGGGACTATAAATTTGAAAGTAGTTCCAGTAGCGGCGGCCGACAAAGCCAGGGAGGCTTGTTGGAATCGCATTGAGTAAATTTGTAATTATCTTCACAGTGTTGTTATTGAAGGCTAATTCTCCATGCCCGACTTCACAAAGTTACTCCTGAAGTCTGTAGTACAGGCCACAGGTATACAAGAAGCACACACACCATGTTCAAAGTGTACAGACACCAGGGTTGCATCTGGGCCTCGTTCCAGTGGCTCTCAGTCACTGGTCTGAGTGTCCGCTGAGTTGGAGGCAGGAGCCTGGGGCAAAGTGCCAACCATGTGTTACGAGGAGAGCTTTATACATTACTCATTGTATTTTGTAGTTTGGCAGGGCCGGCTTGGCAAGACCGAGTATCTGAGACAATTGAAAACATTTTAGATTGGCTGTACAATCTTTAAAATTGCAGTACAAAGAATCACCCAATAAAATTCAAGAGTAACGAGTTCTGGTCTTGTCAAAGGCAAACATACCTGGACATTGCCCTAAAGGAAACCAACAGTCTCAACGTCGATGTGTTTTTCAGCACCAGATTATGAAGCAGCCTTTCCAAGCGCCTCACGTCTTAATTAAACCGCTTGTTCGGCTGGGAGAAGGGGCTGATGACAGTGCTATGTTAACCGAGGATATTTAAACATACAAGCAAGTTTTTAGCCAACAGTTGAATTAGGCCAGAAAAGTTAGTTACAAAGGACAATATCGGTGTGTACCAAAATACAAGCGTAGTTTAACAGGGAAAGGAGAAATAGAGCACTGGCAATAAAATAAACACCCCTTTCAAGCAATTTCAGTCTGGTTGAAAGTCGCCTAGACCACTCTCATAGACTTTAAGATTAAAGATGTTTTGTTTGTTTTTTTACTGCAGGCACTGCATTGCAATCTCTGTGTGTTCCACAGGGTTTGCACACATTTTTATTATAGATAACCTGGTGCATTCACATGCTCCTTGGATGGTCCCATTTCCCAAGTTGGGAAGTCGTTCTTCCGACTTTGTTGGGTTCATGAGCTTTTATGTTGTAATATTAAAACAACAAAGCTTTCAGAAATGCTTTAGGAAGTCAGATGACTCCACACCTATCCTGTAGTTTCAGCTGGGAGATGTGTGCAAAAAATGTCAAGGAAGAAAATAATCTTACACCTATTTACCTTATCAAACAGAAAAATACAACAGTACACCGTCAAAATTCAAGTTTCTCTCTTTCACCGAACTAATTGCCTTGTTAACTCATCGTAAAACATACTTAAGTCAAATTAAATAGAAACAAAGTTACTACAAACTTTTTTAACTCTACTTGCTCAGCTCAGTATCTTGCATTTGGGTCCACCAACCTGCCATACACCACCGTGACAGTATAATTCTCTAAAATACTGATATGTTATTACAACCATTTGTAAAACCAGGGAATTCTTGAATTTGGTGCCCCGTCGAAATGACCTTAGGTACAAAACGTATGCATCTGTGCAGTAGATTGCTTCAGCTGGCTGCAGTGGCTGCAACGTATTCCTTTGGGGGAATTATGCCTGTCAAAATAACATCCACAAACGTGCTTCTTTTTGCCAGCGACAGGCTCAGACTGTTACACCAGGTGTCTGACATTATCATGGAAAGGATCCCTATGAATGGCTCTCAGTGACACCCTTTGTTTTTAACAGGAAACTGAAGTCTCGCTCAAGGACAATTTTCGCTCTGAAATCTCGAGAGAGGCGAGTTGTTGCAGGAAGCTGATGGTGGAAATGTGAGTCAGAGTTGGAGAGAGGAGTTGTTGTGTACGCAGCAGAGATGCTCACAAGTCTTTGAGCTAGAGTCCAAGTCAAGTCTCAAGTCTCTTGTTGTTATTACAAATGTTGTATCACCTGCTGCGTTAAATCCAGGTTGCTAATAAAACTGCATAGCTATAAGGAATTCTGTAAATGTAACCTGTTTTTCATTTACAGAGCACAGCCATGTAATGTGCAATGTAATTA